AGATAAAAGATGCAAAACTTAAACAAAAAGTTTAAATATACATAGCATCAATTTTAATTTTATTTGGTTTTTATAAGGCTGGAATCCATCATCCGTTATAAAACAATTCTGTGAAGGAAAATCTAGAAGGCACAGATGGTCAAGGGACAGAAATATTAGAAAAGAAATATGAACCAGAGTTTTGATTATTTTTCCTCCTGGTTTTTACCTTCTGCTGAACTTGAAATGAAACGGCCACCACCATCTTGGGCTTTAGAGGCCTGTATATACTGGCATAATGCTATATAACAAATAAAAAGAACACTGTGTTATAATTTAATAGTGTCAATATTTAATATGTCTACAAATCTATTTCTTAAAAATTCTCAATAAATAATCACTATTTGCTAAGTCTAATCCCACTGTATTTTCTCTATGTATGCTGAATATGTTTAGACAAAGTAATATCTAAAAGAAGTAATTAATAGAATTCACAGAATGCTGTGAGCTGCTGTAAGTTCTACATATTCTACAAAAGAATCAGCTGCATTCTTAACAGCTAGCTATGTAACAGAAACACTCACTTTAAATATGGAGCATTAATTTTAGATCAGGGATCTCCAATCTCCTGGCTGAGGAATTCTGGGAATTGAAGTCCACAAGTCTTAAAGTGGCCAAGATTGGAGACCCCTGCTTTAGATCATTAATTATAAAATGCATTCTAGGTCAGGTGTGGGCAACCTGTTGCTCTTTTTGCTGAGTTTCATCTCCCTGCAGTCATGATTAGCAAGTGGTATGGGGAGCCTATAGCTCATTGACATTTAAAGTCCAAAAGTAGACACCCTTGTTCTAGGATAACTGATAAATTAAAACTCATTCATTCCCCCAGCTATAACTAATTGGTTGCTGAAATTACTAAAGGAATGTACTCCTTTGGAATATATGGTTTGGGGCAATCAATGTAATTATGGGGAAAGGAAAACTATATACGTGCACCTTCTAGTCAGTGTTGACTCCTGGAAACAACCTGAACACTCCCTGCAGTTTTTATAGAGTCAGTTTAATGTTATGGTTAAAATACCAAATTAGAATTTGGGAAACTGTGAGTTCTAGTCCAGCATTAGGCCCAAAGTCAGCTGGGTGACCTTAAGCAATCACTCACTCAGTCCTAGAAGAAGACAATAGCAAATAACTTCTGGAAAATGTTGACATTTAAAGGCCACCAGTAGACCACCCTTGATCTAGGTAAACTGCCCAAATAAATATACATACAGATATTATTAGCAGAATTAGTTAATTCTCTAGAATTCAGAATGCACCCATCTCTTCTTTTCAACACTGTTGCAACTGCTCATTTGTTTGTACCTTCTTCTGGATTAACCTGAACCAAATCATGATTTCTTTTGCAACTCTAAAAGGAAATAGTACTTTAAAAGGCATATAAATAAGTACTAATAGCAAAGAGGAGAAGTAACAGGTCCAGGAATCCCTCAAACTGGCAGAGGAAGTACCCTTCCTCTGGGAATATGGGTCTCAAAAGTTAACACAAATCTGACTTCCAAAGAATTCTATTATGTCAAAATTCAAATACTGCACAAAATTCAAATGACATATTATAAATAATATCACATGTTTTGTCAAGTTGTATTCTCTATAAATGCTTTATTGGTAAAACAGCGCCTCATTATATAGAGAAGCTATAGTGCCTCGGCAAATTTCACATTAAAGAAAAACAGTACAGTTGACCTAAACACTACTGAAGAAACTTAAACCAGAAACATACTATAGAGAATTTAATAAAACCGATATTTTTACAGCGGTATTTGTCACACTTTATTTCCTAGGAGTGAAATCTTAAAAGGAGGGGATTTTTAACTCCAAAAATAAATGTCACTTTCACGAATTGAATAGGCAATGAGTATGCCAAGTGTGACAGCTGTTAAAACAATAGAGGATAAATACATGAAGCATGCTTCAAACAAGCTTAAAGCTTTTATTACCATCTGCAAAGTGGGATTGTGAGGGAACCATTTATTGTCCAATGCATTTTGATTAAGAGGCAAGCAATGCTGATTTTGCAACAGTTCCTATTAGAGTCTTTAATTAATTAAAAATGATTCCAGTTTCAGCTTATATATTTATTCAAATGCTTGGAAAACCTTATACTATTTATACAAAAATGTTCAATTATCATAATATAGGAACATACAACTTCACAAATACAAAACTGTTTATGAAGAATGAAACTCTTTGACATTAAATGAAATAACTCTGTGCATGAAATAGTGCCTGAAAGAAGAATGGAATGTTTATATATATATACAGTGGAATCACGGGTCACGAACGCTTCTGTTTGCAACCAAATCGGGTGTGAACAAAAAATCCATCTGATTTTTGAATCGGGTCACGATTCAAAAATTGGGTGACGAACAAAATCGGTGTGGAAAGGTTCCCTTTCCGTGCCAATTTCCCCTTCAGTCCCACTTTTTTTTGACTGCGTGCCTGTGCAGTTGGTCTTGTTTCTGGACACGACCAAATCAGGTCACAACCAAAGTCTGGAAACAGATTACGATTGCAACCCGTGGCTCCCACTGTATTTATATTTAGAACATATAGGTTTCAAAGAAAAAAAGAACTCGAGTTTCCTTTTGAAAAAGCACTTTTGGAACACCCATGACCTGGATGACTGAGAATCTCCAAAGACATATATGTTTTAATTTGTATTAGCCACTGACGTAGTTCAAAGTATGCAATATTTAAAACATGAAAAGACAGCACTTTTCACTAATAACTAAAATTATAATTCAATGAAATATTATTAAAATCAAAAGCAGGAAATGGAACAAATGCACTAAAGCTTTAATTGACTTGTATATATAAAAGGAAAGTCCTTGGGTGGTTTGTTGCTAAGTGCAATGATTGAACCAGGGGTGGGATTCTACCAGTTTGCACCTATTCGCTAGAACCGGTTGTTAACATTCTAAGCAGTTCGGAGAACCTGTTGTTAGAAGAAATTACTGGCCTAATCCTGTAAGGAAGGCAGGAAGGAAACATTCTGGTGGTGCTTACAGAAACTGCCTCTCCGTGAACCCTTATTACATTCTTGGCAGGACTAGACTTCCTGTCTCAGGAACTTCTCTGGAGTTTTTTTTCTCCTTTGCTGGTACTTTGCTTGTGTGGAGTGACCATTCAAAGTTACAGTGGCACTGAAAAAAGTGACTTATGACCATTTTTCACACTTACGACTGTTGCAGCATCCCCACAGTCACCAGAGGCCAGGCGAGGAGATGCATGCCTCGATGTGAGTGATGTTGAGTTGGCCACGCCCAGCCAATAACATGACCCCCAAGCCATGTCCACCCAGTCACATGACCACCAAGCCACGCCCACCAACTAAGCCATGCCCACAGAACCAGTTATTAAAAAATCTGAATTCCACCCCTGGATTGAACCAAGTGAGAGATAGAAAGTATACAGTGAGTGTTTTAAAAGATACGTCAGGTGTTTGCCAGCTGCCTAATCTGAAAGAGATTGTTCCAAACAAATCTCCCTATCTTTAGTTAGCTTTATTAGGATGAAAGGAGTGCTGTAGTGATACAAAAATTCCAGCAACTGATTTTTTTCTTAATTTACCATTTTGTATTCATGTACAATATCCACTGGGGGCAGAGACTTTCTCAATCTTTTCCTTGCAGCCTTCCTCCTTTTCCTTACAGTCTGTTCCTTTCACTTATACATATAAGATAAACCTTCAACTGTTAATTATTTATGCAACTGCTCTTTAAATCTCTCACAGTCTGAGAACCAGTTACAGGTGTTCAGAATAATACTTTAGTTCATATTTTAGGGCATGTATTCTTTTATGCAAACAATGATGAAATCATAACGTGAATGTTACAAGAAATATTAAATATAAATTCAGCAATAGTTCATTAATAATTATTTGTTAAATTTATTTTAATATTTATAATAGTGGTAGACTATATAACTGACACTGATAAAACTAGCAGGAATAGCCATTATAGAGATACAATGTCTCATCTTGTTGAAATGGTATCCGGACTTTTATAAAAGAAAATAAGAAGAAAAATATAGATCTTAACAAATCTGAGCGAATGAACATATATTTTTCATCAAGAAGTAGCTTTGGTAAACATTCTGAATGTTTGTTTATTGTATAACTAATTATTATAGTTGACCACAAAATCAGCCAGGTGTTTAGACTGGAATTGGCATATTTATTCAACTGTTGAGTCCTTCCCAAGAATCTAGGTTAGGCAGAAGTTGTTGTTTGATGGTGTTAAAGATATAAATTTATCCTGCCTCTTTAGATATACAAGTAGGTATGGATTTACATTTGGTCATTTAAAAACCACTCAAAGTTACAACAACCTCAATAAGAGAACTAAACAGCCCTTAAAGCACTTCCAGCCATCGTAAAACATCATGCCACTCCGGGTTCCCCCCACCCCCGGCAATCACATGGTTGCAATCCAGTGGTAGGATTCAAATATTGGTTTGGTGGGCGTGTCTTGGTGGGCGTGCTTTGCGCGTATGCACACAAATTGCATGCTTGTGCGCACCAAATGCATACGTTGCGCAGGCACAGAGGCATTTGTGCATGTGCAGAGGTGTTCTAACTCACCTCCTGCAAGCCTGCACTCTCCAGGTCGCCACTCTGCTGTGCTGCACAGAGAAGCTGTGCTACAAATTCAGAGGATAAAGGTGAGTATGGAGCCCAGGCAGAGGGGCGGGCTGGCCCAACAGCAGAGTGGCAGAGAGAACTAGTTCAGTCTCTGCTACTCATCGCTGCTACCGGCTCGGCAGAACCGGGCCGAACCAGTAGAATACCACCACTATTGCAATCTGAATGCTTGGCAACCTGTTTGCACATAGACCTGTGGCCAAGTGCCCCACAATCATTTGGTCGCTATTTGTAATCTTCTCTGCCAGCTTTCCCAGAAAGTCAATGGGGAAACCAGAAAGTTGCAAACTGCTGCTACTTGTTGAGATGACTCCATCTCATCTCTGGGGGCTGGCTGAAAGAGCTGTCTACTGAGCAGAGCTGAACTCTGACAGGGTGGAGAAATGGAGCTCTATTCCTGAGACTACTGGAGCAGTTCGCACATGGAGAGGAATAAAAATCCTCCTTCTCCTCTTGGGAAACAGAGCTCAGGCATAGGAACACTATTAGAGGTGTGAATTAAGACTGATGAGCGACATTAAATAATTCCATATCATTTCTCAATCTGAGTTAACGTTTTGTGCTTACCATTTTTTATTAGTTTAACTACCCTGAAC